ATTCAAGCTTAAGAAATCCTAATCACCCACTACCTAGTAACACACACATATATAAATAATCCAAACCCCAAAACCAAAACCCACTTATATGTCTATATTGAGATTTTAAAATAAAAATAAAAACCAAAGAGTTATTTGCATGAACATACGTTTAGCAACCATTATCATTCTTAATTCAATACACATTTAAAGTTCATAAGTAACTCCCCCAAAAATTTACTTAACTTCGAAGTTTTTGTGCTTCTCATATGATACTTCATGCTGCGTATGCACTTTCTTTTTTTGGAACTAAATGTAGTGAGATAAGTTTTTGAAGATTTGTGTGATTAAACTAATTGACAACAAAGAGAATTTTATTGGACTTCGAAAACATCAATCAAAATACAACTTGAATGTATATTTGAATCTCTGAATTTGTTCTCGAAAATTTATCTAACAAAATCACTGTGTAGTTTAGATTCATTCTAGGTGTAAACTTTATCATACAATTGTTGAATTCAAACCACACATTGCTCAATTTCGAGGCATAAATTTTAAATAGGTAGCTTTATGCCTTTGTAATTATCAAATAAGTGCACCTATTGAGATCATCCCCAAACAATTCCTAATGGAAAAAGAGTTTATCAAATTGTTATGAATGCACTCCAAGTTAAGTTTGATTTGTTTTTTCATATTTGATTAGCAAAGAAAAAAAGAATATCATTGATAGATTAGATTCAAATAATACCACTAATGTAAGATTTATGTTTCTATTTTTTATATATTTTGCATGATGATTTGAAAGTACATCATCATCTTACTCTTTAGTAGATTTGTGTAATAATCACTTATATAGTGTTTGATTCATTAGAATGAAATAAAATAGTCACTCATCTCTTTATACAATGACTATTTTCTCTCTCTCTCTCTCTCTCATATCATTTTCTCTCTCGCGCACCTCCCATAGCAGCTAGAGTTCTGTTGCTTCTTCTTTTCTCTCTCTCTCTCTCTCTCTCTCTCTCTCTCTCTCTTCTCCTTACCTTCGCCTACTGTTGATCACCTCTGCCCACCGTTGTCGATCCCACTACCGTTGCACCGCTACACCGTCGCCGATCCCACCATCATTACACCGCTACAACGTTGTCGATCTCTCTCTTCTCCTCACCTCCGCTACACTGTTGCTTCAACTTCTCCACAGTGCCGCTGACAAACACCACCATCACTACCACCATGAGCTCGTTGCATGACCCCTTAGTCGCCGACAAAGAGCAGATTTGATATCTGAACTCAAAAATGCATATTTACGGTCAATTTACGACACTCCGTACTTCGTACAACAACATTGCTCTCAATCTTTTGTTCAATCTCAGTTTCATGGTGGTTCTCCCATATATAAATATCACACGAGTTATGATCTTTACATTTGTTTTACATATATGTGTGTGTATGTGTTCTTATAGATATAGATATGTGAAGATCTAAAAAAATGTGTTTTTCTTTTATCTGTTGCTATTGTTGAAGGCTCAGATCTGGAAAGTCTTCTTGATGATGATGATAACGACGACGACTTTTGAGAATTTTGAATAGATAACATTCATAGATCTGTCTCTGGGGTTTTTTTATCTTTTTTTTTTGTGGTAGATTTATTTATTTATTTATTTTTGTGCAGTTGTTGTTGATAAAGATTGTTGTTGTTATTCTTGTTGTTATCATTGTTGGTCTATACTATTATTAAAAGTGAACGATTCACTTGGTGTCTAAAGTTTGGTGACTTCTACTTATGCCACATATCTTCATTTTCCTATTTGAAATATATAAATAAAAAATAAATAAATAAAGAAGAAGAAGAAGAAGAAGAAACAATTAGATATTTAATAAGAGTAGGACTCAAATCTTAAACTTTTGAATTAATAAATAAGGCTTTTATCACTCGCATAACATACCATATATATATAAAAGTTTGGTTTTATTTTTACTTATTTTAATTACGCACGCATCGCGTGTGCTGACTGTTAGTGAACAGATGAAACAAACAGATAAGACCTATGTGAATTTCAACAGATTTGTGTTGAATAGATAAAAAAAATAACATATTATACCTTTAACAAATAGAAAAAATGATTTCAATAGATAGAAACTTTGAACAGATTTTTGAACAAATAATTTTTATAGATAAGAATGTATAGAAATTGAAGATTGTTTGTTAGAATTTTTTTAACAAATATCTCTCTATCTAGATAGAGTAGGTTCAATAGATAGATATAAAACTTCAACATATATAATTTTTTTTGACAACAGATAGACTTGATTTGACATATAGGAACAAATTTTGAATTAAAAAGAACAAAAAAATTTGAACAGATAGATATAATTTTGAATAGATAGAAAAAAATGTGAACAAATAGATATAAATTTGAATAAATAGAAAATAATTTGAACAAACAGATATAAATTTCAACAGATAGTCAACAAAAAGTCAATAGATTAAAAAAAAATCAGCAGATAAGTTGAGAGGTAAAATTGAAAATAAAATGTCATCCAAAACCAACAAATGAACTTCTTACTAAATTATTTCAGAAATGATGAATCTCTCACTAATAAAAAATATCCACTACACTTAATGTCTTATATACATTTTAAATTGGATTTATTGCCAATTTTCCCAAAAGAAAAGTCAAGGAAATGAAAAATAATAATTAAAAATTTTATGCTCACCCACAGTGGAACCTTGTTAAAACCACTTTCTCCTACACTTTAATTATTATGAGGCATGCGTTGAGAGCAGATCTTGATGCAATAGTAGGGTTGTTTTTATTGTAATTTGGCATCATAAATTTAAATTATGAAAATAATTTAGAATAAGACTGTATATATATGATTTTTTTTCAAATTTTATGGCGACTGGAGTTTGTGTATTGAAACTGTTCTCAACCGTCTTTAAATCTCCTAGTAACAGGATTATCGTGTGCTACGCTTTAACCGGTGTGTAAAGCTCTCAAGAATGGAAAACACACACATAGCATTGCCCTTCAAGAATTATTAGTTGTAATGCAAGTAGAGGGTGGTATGGTTCATTTAAACAAGGGCAAATTATAATAGTAGTTCTTGTATCATTTTGGTCTCTATAATTTTAATTGGTTCGATTTTGATTCTAAATTTATGATTTTGTATCAATTTGGTTTAATTGATTAGAATTGTTAGTATTTTCTTAAAAAAATACTCAAATAAGCGGCATGCGACATGCTTTTAAAGATAAAATTATAAATTTTTCCTAATTTAGTAAGTTAATCTCAACTAACTCAATAGTTATTTTTTGTCAAAGACTAACGACTTTATCAATTAGACTAAATTAACATAAAATCTAAAATTAAGAGTCAAAATTGAGTCAATTGAAAATATAATGACCAAATTGACACAAAAAATAAAATGTAACGATTACCAGTGTAATTTGCCCTTTAAACAAAGAAAGCCAAACTAGTGAAAAAGGTTTTGTTCACACACTGCGGCCTCGTTTGAGAATTTAGGGGTTGTTTGGGGTGTTCTAAATAAGTGTACTTTTTGACTTTTTATGAAATATGGGTTGGGTTTGAAGTGATGTAATAGAGAGGTGATGTGACCTAAATAAGATGATGTGACTTAAATAAGATAGTGACTTTTTGACTTTTTGACGTTTTCAAAAGATGCCAAACTTAGCCTTAGTTTTTTGGTTTAAAAATAAAAATAAAAATAAAAGTTAAAAATATTACTAAAAAGCAAGTCATACATCATTTACATTTTTCAATAAAATTAGAAAGGTCAAACCTCAAATGATACCTTTATGAATGTGTGAACAAAAAATAATTTTTTATTGGATTGAACTTTCCTCATATTTAAATATAAACTTGAGACAATTTGAGGGGTTCGTAAGGTTCATCATAGATTTCGTTTCAATAATCTGAATAATTCATTTCGTAGAGCTCCAGTGTAGATCATACATAGAAAAAATTAAATGGATCCAATAATCATAATCTTTTTATTTTATTGTGTTTATCTTTTAAAAAAAAATGAATGACTATCTAAGCAACTAAAAATAATCATTCTAAACACATGAACTTTTTTCACCTCATAATTTTTTTAAAAATCATTAAAAAGGCTAAGTTCCCAAACAAAGCCCAAGTAGGCACAACATTGACCACCCAATCACTTGGCGACAAGGTTCGTTCTCCTACAATACTTTTATACAATATTGTAGTTTGAAAGTGCACGTAGAGTCAACTTATACGTTAATTTATTAATTTAAAATAAATTTACAAATAAGTTAGTTTTTTAAAAAAAAAATCTAATTCCTTTGATATAGTTTTAACTTTTTAAAATTTTCCAATAAATATTTTTTTTTAAAGTAATTTAAGTTAACTTTTTAATGAACTGACACTTGCCTTAGTTTAGCAACTTTGCACTTACATACACTGCCAAATATGATGAAACTTTTTTTAATCAGGGCAATGCTAATGTCATCTGTTTAAATGTTTATTCCACCTCATTGATTTAAGCATTGACCAACTTAGGATTTAAATTATAAATGGCCTTCAAATTATCCTGCCAGCTAGAATTCAATCACATAGCTCTGTTCTTTGCTACATTGTAAATTTGTAATCATATGGATGCACAAATGAGAGCTTCTGTAGTTGGTTTCTTGCCATAGCAAGTCTCCATTTTAGTTCATGCAATGGAAACTCCAATGTGTCTTGCATTGCAAAGGAGAGACAAGCCCTTTTGCGGTTCAAGGACGATCTTACTGATCCTTCAAGCCAGCTTTCCTCTTGGGCTAGTAATGATGATTGTTGTTCTTGGGATGGAGTTGTCTGTGACAACTTTAGCGGCCATGTTCTTGAGCTCCATCTTCAAGGTTCATGCACAGACGACAACTGCAAAATATTGAGTGGTAAGATAAATCCTTATTTGCTCAATTTGAGACATTTGAGTTACTTAAACTTGTACTACAATGATTTTGGAGGGATCAAAATCCCCAATTTCATCGGTTCTTAAGGAGTTTAATATACCTGGAGCTCTCTCACTACAAGAAAATTAGTTTATAACCACGCTTTTGTTATGGCGTTTTTTCAAAAAACGTCGTTTTAAAGGTTTTCAAAATATTTTTGTAAATAACTCATTTTAAAAAACACGTGTGTTTTGGTGTACGAACATATTTTTCCTTTTAAGACCCACGCGTTTTTCATTCTTCTATTCTATTTCACGTAGCAATTGATAGATCTAGGTTTTCTATCTCTTCATCACTCCTCTTTCTTATGTTGAAAGGTCACTGGATCGAGCTTCGTAGGCTCCGATTCACGATCTGGTTCTCTCCATCTTGGCTCAAAGCTCTCGATCAGTCCGATTTGAAGATTAATTTTGTGAGTCCTCTGATTTTTTGATTTTGTTTATATACAAACTTAGATCTACGATCTCAAATCTGTTTGATATATATATACTAATTTATGTCTATTGATCGCGATCGATTTTTATTCTATTGATCGATTTTTAGGCAAATCTCGATTGATTGATTTTTAATTTATTGATCGCGATCAAACACTCTTCTCTGGATTTGATCGATTGATTGCTTTCGTTCAGATCTGTAAGTTTGAGTCCCTATGTGCATATTAACATCCTCAAACCGACTCTATTTCTGACTCGTTCGTGGTGATCTTTGCGTTTATGCTTTGTATGCAATTCTAGGGTTAGTCTATTGAGGCTAATCTCTATTGCGTTTGTGTACAGAGTCACAGAACCACCATCACAACTATACTGTGTCAATCTTTGCAGCGATGTCAATCTTTGCATTTGTGCTTGAACAGGTTTGGCTAGAACAGGTTTGTCATTGATTTATTGATTGAAAAGGAATTACATAATAAAATAGTTGATCTAGAACCTGGTTTGTCATTGTTCTTTTTCTTTAATTTAATTTATGGGTAAATTATGCATACCACCTGTTTGCTAATATGCCTCTAAAAAATACATAAAATCTGTTAGTTTCTGGTTGAATGTGAATTGTGCATGTGTTAATTTCAGAACTGTGTTGTGTATAGTCACAATTGAGGCAAGGTTTTGGAGGCAGTTTCAATTCAAGACTGCTATGTAGTTCCAAATCCCCCCCTCCTTTAGGTAAAATTCTCCTTGTTCAAACACATGTCTTTCTTTTATGTCATTTTTGTTACTAAATTCGACTCTGTTAATAGATAGTTTCAGTATTTCAAAGACAAGGTAAATGGTGATTGTCTGACTTATTTTTTATACTAAAGTAAATATTTTATTTGCAAACAAAAATGTGTTATAACTCAAAAGTGTCTGTTTCAGTTTCTTGGAGGAAATCATCCTTGGGAGTGGTCAAAACTTTGTATTAGAGGTATTTATTTTAATCGTATTAGAACTTTGTATGACTTATTGCATGAATGTTTTCAATACACGCGAGTATGATATGTCAAATAAATTATAAGGATGGGTTTTCTTTTGCTGAAGTGATCAAGAATATATATATTTTTCATTATTTGTGCATAAAGCAAATCAAATTATGGTCTTCTCCTAAGCTGAGTTATCAAAAGCTGCATGTTTACCAAATTCTATTATTGGCTAATGATATTTTTCTTGCAGTGCTAGTTAACAATATTTTTACTTGAACTAGCCACTTGTTCTGTGCTCCTATTTTAGTAAACTAGTAGAATTTAACTATGTACAATCACATAATGACTAGTTTTCATATGGTATCTCCACTGCTTTGGCAATTAAGATTTCATTATAAAGCTGCCTTTAGTCTATACTTACATTTTTAATGTGTTTTTTTGAGCAGGTTAAGAATCATTGATTAGAGGAAACGAAAACCTGTTGAGAAATGTTAACAATCCTTTCTACGTTTGTTTTGATGTTTCAAAGATATGTTGTTGCTGAGGACACTTAAGTTTAACTGAAGTTTAATATCTTCCAATGTAATAGTTTTTATTTGTTATTTTTTTATAATACTGGAAACTAGTTATTAGACCATGGTATTTATCATTAATGTGCATATCTTTGCTGGAGCTTTTTCATAATGGTAATTTCTGTAGGGTTGTAACCCTTTAGGCATTCGAGGTTGAAGTTGGTAGTAATGATAAAGTGTTCCTGTTAAAGTTTGTGAATTACTAGATGCTATTTCTGCGTATGGTATGATCAATTTTATATAAGATCACAACTTATCATTGAATAGGATTGAAGGTTGGTGTAGTTAACAATAAAGTGTTCCTATTAAGGTTTGTGAACAACTAGATGCTGTTTCTGCCTATGGCGGAGCCAAGATTTGAACACCTCATTCTTATATTAGCTGCGATAACAAATGTGGAATGGGAGCATGTAGATATCTTTGAAAATGAGGGTGATGGGTGATTCCAGTATTGAAAGAAAAATATTTATTTACTTAAATAAGGCCCTCGCTCTCTTCGTTTTAAGGTACAAATTGGATACTTATCTTCCAATGTTGGGAGCTCAACAGAGTTAAAGGTATTTTTGCTTTCACAACTAGTTTATACAAGAGAATTCATGAAGTTTTTTATTTTTTATTTTTGAAGTTAAAGTGATAGAATTTGCAAAAAAATTATTACTTATTATGATTTTATTTTGGTTTGTTTTACCCTGGATATCGTATAAACATAGAACATTGGGCACAAAATATATATTTACTGACACACAGTGTATGATGCTGACTTTCTGTTTTCTGTATGCGTACAATGTTTTTCCTAATTCTACTTTTGCCAATTGTCATCAACTTTTATAGAAATGTTTTACATATCTTTTTTATCTGTCTCATTGTTTATGAATCTTTAACCCACATTGCCCACTTAGATTGCATACATGTTTCACCACTATTCTAAAGTGGTTTTAGAAAATGTTGGATATAGAATTTCCATATGATTGATGGTTGCTAGTTTTGGATTGTCCATTTATAATGTTTAAACAATATCCAATTTTGGATGTAATTTTATTGGCAATTTTAAAAATTGTTTCCACTTTCTTATGTAATTACTTAGTATTTAGTAAAAAGATTGTAAAAAAAGGTTTTTAATTAATGGGATATTATTTCTTCTGACCTAGGACTTGATTTAGTTCATAGAGATAGTGGCATGAGTGGTAGTCAGTTAACAAGATTTGCTGTGTAAGTTAGTTTCTGATTCTTCATGAAGTTGTTATAAATGCAACTTAGCATATGAGGTGTATTTAAGTTGAAGAACTTTCAATACTAGTAACTGATATGATTGCTTGCTGGAACACCATTTCTTATTTCAGATGTTGGAAATCTCATGGTTTCATACAACATTAGTTTCCTGTGACCCTCATCAAATTTCTCAAAATTCCTTGCAAATGCTAAGTATGATGTTATGTAACTGATAGCAGCTTTTGAATAAAAAAAAAGGTGAAGGATGGATGAAACTCTGCTAAAAGTGTGTGAGGTGTTTGTCTTGCGCTGTCAATTATAATGGTAGAGATAAAATGGAGTTTAAGGTGGACTTTAGTTTAGAGTTTAGAAATAGTTGTTTAAGAGCAAGTCTTACATAGAATTAGACAGTGAGAGGATTGCTTGCTATGAAGATTAGAACCTGTTCTATTGTTAGAAGTTTTGGAGTGTTTTTTATTTTATTTTTATTTTTTATGATGGGGATTTTGGTCAGTGATTTGTGAACTGTTGAATTTTACACGATTAGCTCCGACTTTCAATCTTTTGATGGAAAGATACTAAATTTTAAAAATTTGCATTTCATGATGATGAATGGGATTTGGCAGTTTGCTATGTTTTTTTGTACATCTGATGAATGGGATTGGGCAGTTTGCTTGTGCAATGAGCCTTTTCTTGATGTATGAGTTTCAAAATTTCTTTATTTCATTGTCTATTCTACTAGGCAAATGTTTGGCTATCTGGGTTCATATGTTGCCTTTGCACTGTAATTAATTCATGGAACTGTCTAAAAGTGTTATTGTATGTTAACATGAATTATTACTCTCTTATAAGTATAATAGTGTGAATTTTCTTTGGTTTGTTGTGCTTATATTAGGTCGCTCTAAGAATGAGATTTAGGAGGTTGAAAATGGTTTGAATGACACTACAACAAGCTGCAGCCCTATCTGTTCTGACTTTAGCTGCTCTGGCTGTGGCTCGTACTGCAGCCTTGCTTGTGTTGACCTGGCCTGGTCTTGCTGCAGCTGGGGCTGCTGCGGCTGGGAATGCTGCCTTGGCTGCAGTGGCTGGCTTTGGCTTATGCTTTGTGTGATCTGGCTTATCAAATCTGAATTGGTGCTTGGTTGGTTGCCCCTATATGGTTTGCAGTTTTAGATTGGAATTTGTAAAACACAGGGTCACTTCAGAATGTTGAAGCATGTCATGGTTAGTTCATTTTTCATGGCTGTTGGAGGTGGGTATCTTTGTCTTAGGTTTCTTATGTTCATTTTCTTAGGAGACATAGTTCTTACTAGTGTCTTTTTTTTTTTTTTTTTTTTTTTTTTTTTTTTTTTTTTATTTTTCTTGACAACATCTTAATTGATTTTGATAGAGACATGTGGGGCTACGTATCTTTAGGTTACTTCAAGCAGGTGAACTTTCTGATATATTTGTGAATATGTTGCTACTGGTTTTCCTCTGCTAGAACTTATGTTTTTTCAAGTTCAAATGTCAATCAGATAACTAAGGCTGGTGAGATTGGGTCCTCGACTATGCCTCATAAAGTAAATCCCATTGATTTTGAAAATAGTGAGGGCAATCTTGGGAAGGCTAATGGAGGTCTATCCCATTTAAGCATAAAATTACCTATTTCTCGTTGGCGGGTAGAACTCTCTCTCTGACTTCTTTGCAAAGATATATGAAAGCTCCATTTTTAGTAAACATTGATTGGTAGTTTTTAGGCACCAAAAGTGCAGAATGTAAGATTATGTCACTGGGCAATTATGATTTCCTTACCATATTGCAGATCCAAGTCTGTATATGCCAAGCCCAGTAAAAGGAAGGATTTTGCTAGTTGTTAATAGTTTTGGTCATCTAATTTTAGTGGTGATAGAGTGAGACATGCTAGAAAGCATACTCAGCCAAATATAGTTTTTTTTTTCAATATTATATATTTTATAAAATTTAAAAGCATACTCAGCCAAAGGGATTTGTTTGGGCACAAATGAAACTGCTGCCTATAAGCAAATGTTACAGGTACTTTTCTCTGTGGACTAGGTAAATGTTACAGTTACTTTTCATGGGTTAGAATTAGGTGCATGCATGTTATTTTGTAGATAATAAAAGTAAATGGTGATTTTTGCGGGGCTTAATAAAAGTAAATGGTCATTGGCTAATAAAAGAATGCTGATTAAAGTTTGAAGGATATTTTGTGGGGCTTTTTCACTCCTGTCCAAACCATAGAAGAGACTACCATGTTTTTTCACTCATGTTCATGAACTTCTTTAATTAGCTCATTGTTGAGGTCTTGAAAGTAATAACTCAATGATTTTTTCCTTGTGCTGATTACAGGACAACTTGCTTGGGAAGTTTACGAGAACATTAGGAGAGGCTTCTTGTCTGAGAATTCAGAGAGATTTTTGTATGCATCTTGCTAGGAAAGCTTATAAAGAATTGTGCTCCTCTGCTGTTTCTATTCAGGCTGGCATGCGTGGAACGGTTGCACGTGATGAGCATCACTTCAGAAGGCAGATTGGTTTTTATGGAAAGTTTTCATTGCTGTATTCTCTTAGACAACTTGACTACATGAATTGTGGATTTGGATGTATTAGTAGGAACTCCAACAATTTCTTTTTACACTAGCTTCTGTTCAACTTAGTTCTTTAAAATTACCATACTATAAGCATTTATAATAATGTTTTTCTTTTGGAGAGTAGTTTGAAAACTGTCTCAGAATCTCTGAATACTTCTTGATGGGTTTAAAATTAGCACAATTTAAAAAAAAAAATGAAAAAGGATATCACGGCGTTTTTCAAAACGCCGCTTAAATCCTAAATCTAACGGTCATCTGTTTTTAAAAAGATACGATGGCGTTTTAAAAACGTCGCTAAATATCACAGTGATGTCATGGTACTGTTATTTAGGACATTTGGCGGCGTTTTTAAAAACGCCGCCTATACTAATATCACGACATTTCTAAAATGCCACAAAGCTATAGCGACGGCCGCGTCCTCGGCGTTTGGTGCTAAACGTCACAAAAGGAATTTGCGGCGTTTTTGACACTTATAGCGGCGTTTTTTAAACGCCACTAAAAATCTATTTTCCAGCAGTGTCTGAAGTTGGATTTAGTGGACCAATTCCTGAAACACTTCTCAAGTTTGCACTATCTCTGTATTCGACATTGTTCTAATAGTTTAGTAAGTGTTGAAAAACTTCAATGGATTTTTGATTTTCTCGTACTCCAATACCTCGATTTAAGTTGTGTGAACCTTAGCCAAGCATATGATTGATTGCAGGTGACTAGTATGCTTTCTTATTTAGAAGAGTTACATTTGCTTAACTGCCAACTTCATCCCTCTTCTTCTTTTCTTGGCCTTAATTTTACTTCTCTTGTCGTTCTTTATCTCTCTTTCAACTACTTTAATCCTTTGATGCCAAATTGGTTGTTTGGTCATACTAGCCTTGATTCTCTGGTTCTACGCTATTGTGATTTTAGTGGTCTAATTTCAAGTGGCCTTCAAAACATGACCAGCCTTAGAGACCTCGATCTCTCATGGAACGATTTCAATTCCACCATACCCGCATGGTTGTATAATTTCAAAGGTCTTAAATCACTCAAACTTGGTGGAAATGATTTACAAGGTCTAATCTCAGGTGACATTGGAAATTTGAGTTCTATTATTCACATGGATTTGTCAAGCAATAAAATTGAAGGAAGAATACCAAGATCTACGGGACCTCTTTGCAACACAAAGGTTATCAATTTATCATTTAACAAATTTGGTGATTTGTCAGATGTTTTTACAAGTTTGTCCGGATGCAATTTAGATAGTTTGGAGCATTTACATTTACTTGATTGTCAACTTTCTGGTTCTTTAGATGATAATCTCTGGCAATTTAAAATTTTGAAGGTACTCGATCTTGCATTTAATTCAATTGTTGGTCCACTTCCATGATCAATAGAAAGAATGTCATCCTTGACATCATTATATTTGGACAATAATCAATTGAATGGAACAATTTGTAACGCCCCCAAAACACAAGCACAAATACATCCATAAACACATGTTAAATGATAGCATAAATCAGAGTGAATATTCCTTTCATTTTCTGAAGTTAAAGATACAAGAGAGTTTGACAAAATTAAATGCCCTATTGGCTTACACATTTCCAAGCCTTAACTTGGTTACAACAAAATGAGTTTTGCTCAATATAAATTTAGCCCTAGGCTATACAAAATAAACAAAACATGAAGCTCTTGCTTCTCAAAAGTCCATCCAATGCTATTGTCTTGGAGGAGGCATGCCTTCATTACCTGAAAATGTTATTCCCAAATAGGGTGAGTCACAACCTAATAGAAATTATCTAACACGATATATGAAACTTAGCAAAGATATAAGATATAAGTACAAGTGCATAAACAATGTTTGGGTCAAACCTTTCATGATTATACAAATATTCATCAAATGTAAATTTAAAACCTCAATCTGTTCACTTTCAACTTTTATTCTGGTCATGGTTCGATATCATTATTCCTCAATCATCAAACTGAGACTACAACTCGATGAATTTCAAATCATACCACACATATGCATAAGACACTTTAAATTTCCATTTCACGAATATTTTGTTCACGGGCAGCCGTCAAACGGGACCCATGTAAACATAGGCTATATAAGCACTACAATCGCCATTTTACGGATATTTTGTTCCCAGGCTAGGTACCCATGTATAATTTCGGGATTTTCACCCAAGACACTTCGGCCAACTTAATTATAGTGGAGTCCAACCCCTTTCTCCTTCCAAACAAACACACATACATATGCAATGTATTTAAAAAGATAATCGAACACGAAGAACATCCCCTTTCCACTTCCAAGCAAACATACATATACAATGTATATAACCACAATCATATCCAATGACAACCATTAGAAGATTTGTTTCAATTTACCTAATCCATATGCAATTTCTACAACAATCCAAAACTATCCTCTATCGATAGCTCAATACAATTATCTCTAAACAGATATTCAATCTCAACAGATAGTTTATTCAAAACTTCCACAACAGTAAATTAATACATAACCAATTTCACCATTTATGTCAATTCTCTCTTAATTTCACATTTCCAATGCCAATTCCAATTTTTGTACAAAAATAATAGTTTGACCCAATTAGGGCAATTTACCCCTCTTTCCTAAATATAGGCCAAGTGCCAAAATCATCAAATTAGATATGGTACAACATTATTTTCAAGTCCCCCAAACATTAATTTCACCTACACCCAAAACCCATCTTTGTATTTTAAGCCCAAACCCTAGGTTTGTTTAAAACATCCCCAAATCATTCATTGTTACACAAGGGACAATATCTAAGCTAAATATCATATGAAAGTGTAGAAAGAATCCCTACCTCAAAAGAAGAAGATGAACCCAACAAGAGAGAAACTCCAAGAATGCCGAAACCCACTTTTATTCGGATCAAAATGTAAATCTTGACGAACTCTACCTTTTTTCCAAAGGCACTAGGGTGAAAAAGAGGATGGATCTAGCTGAAATCTAAGAGAGAAGATGAAATGTAGAGAGAGAAGCTCAAGAATAAACTTTTTGGAGAGTTTTAGAGAGAGAGAGAGATAAGAAAAAGTGACTCAAAGACGTAGTTATTTGAAATGGAGAAGTTATTTGAAGTGTTTCCCTATACTGAGACTCAAAAGGTTTTATTGGCCACCTACACTCTTAAAGATGAAGCTCGGAGATGGTAGTTATTAATCCGAAATAGTAATGGGAATATGACCTGGGCTTAATTCAATGAGATCTTCTACAACAAGTATTTTTCTCACTATTTTCGGGATCAGAAAGTTTCTAAATTCCAAGAATTGAAGCAAGGCAAGATGGCTGTAGCCGAGTATAAGGCTAAGTTTACTGAGTTGGCCAGATTTGCTCCTCAACACAGATTATAAGAAGGCTCAGAAATTTGAAGGGGGCTTAGACCTGGACATGTATGTTCGTGTGGGCGTATTCAAATAACTGACTTATGTGGAAGTACTTGATAGGGCATTAATGGCAGAGGCCATACTAGCAACAAAGAAACAGACTAATGCCCCAACAACTGAATAGAAAGACAAAAGATCTAGATCCAATTTTCGAAAGGGTCGTTCATCCTTTGCAGGCAAAAAGCAAAATACTAGATCTTCAAGTAGTTCAAGCCAAAGTAATTTGTTCTGATTAAAATAAAAACAACTTAGGCCTCGTTTGGGAACAGGCTAATTTAGTAACTTTTTGGTTATTTGGCTAAAATATGAGCTATAAAAAACTAATATGTTTGTGATGACTTTTTAGCTTTTTACGAAAAGATGTGCAAAGAGTAGAGAGAAAAGAGAATCTTTGACTTTTTGGTATAAGTTGTTGGCTTTTTGGCTAATTTAGTAACTTTTTAGCTAAATGGAGGGTTCCCAAACGAGGCCTTAGTCCCCCCTTTTTTTAAAAAAAAAATAATAATAATAATAAATTCTAGTCCATGAGCTAAGTAGAAAGGCAACAACTAGTGAAGTGTGTAGAAAATTTGCTTATAATTTCTTTTTGATAGATGTAGATGTTTAATTGATCATGCTGATGAAATAATGATGACCTTTTCTAATAATTGCAGTTACAGCATTGGGTGCCATTAGGAGCAGTTTGATTGATCCAAATGGGAATCTCAGTGACTGGAATCGTGGAGATCCATGTACGTCGAATTGGACAGGGGTTTTGTGCTACAACACTACTATGCGGGATGGCTATCTACACGTCAGAGAATTGTATGATTTCAGTCTTTTCCTAATTTTTGTTCCTTTATCAGATCATCATGAACATGATTTTTGTGAACCACGGTTAAGATGGAAGTAAAAATTCCTGGTTAACATGGGCACATTCATCAATGTAGATATAAAATATTATAAGGATCTTCCATCTTAAGCCAGAATTAGTATTTAAGTTGTTTTGTAGTAAATTTATTGCTTACTGATCAAAGAGAAAAGATGTGATGGTTAATTAATTATTTAACAGAAACTGTGTTGCCTAGAAATTATGTGACTCGAAGTTTCTCTTTTACATCTCTTTGTGCTAAATACTAAATTCTGCACTTAGCTGCATTTGCTATATAACAAGGTTACACAAACTGCAAAGCACAATATGCTAGGATGCAAGCCGGCAGAAACTCCTATGGACACAACTATCAAACTGGAAGAAAGTGACGGTAGTGCACCAAGTGATAAAGGGAGATATCAACGTCTTGTGGGAAAACTCATTTATCTTTCTCATACAAGGCCAGACATCGGCTTCTCTGTTAGTGTGGTCAGTCAATTCATGAATAATCCAACCGAAAAACACATGGCTGCTGTGACCAGAATATTGAGGTACCTAAAAAAGACACCGGGAAAGGGTCTCTTCTTCCAAAGAACAACAAATAGAAAAATTGAGATTTTTTCAGACGCAGATTGGGCAGGTTCAGTAACTGATCGGAGATCAACCTCTGGCTATTGTTCATTTGTTTGGGGGAACGCGGTTACATGGCGAAGCAAGAAACAGTCAGTGGTAGCCCGTAGTAGTGCTGAGGCAGAATTTCGTGCTATGGCCCTAGGTATCTGTGAGGGAATCTGGTTGAACAGACTGTTAGAAGAATTACGGGTTCCATCTGAGCATCCCATGGTTTTATACTGCGA